CGACCATAAGCTGAGAAATATGCAGTTTGACAACTGCATATGCCCTCTTACCTGCAGGAAGGCACTTGGATTTTCCTCTTATGTATTCTGGCTCTAATGAACCGCATTGAGGGAATAAGGGATTAACAAGCTATTAGGACCAAGTGCTTCAAAAAAACCAACCATCAGAAATGAACAGCAAGAGAATGCATCGTGGAAAATAGCACCACCAGTTAGACTGGAATGTCAGATTAATTTTATGCCCATTATATGACTGTTTGAAAAACCCTGAGGGATCATCACAGCTTGATTAAGCTTCCCCCACAGACTCTCCCCACAGACACACACTCACAAAGGACAACAAAAAATGCAAGTTTGCTTACACAGGCAATCTAAAGGCAGTACTTCTGACATGTCCCATGTGTCTGACATATTGCACAGGTGCAATTACTCTGTGTGTATGCAACAAATCTCAAACTCCTAAATACATGGGGGTCACTGTTCATGCACATTAAAGTAGCAAATTCTCCAGCTTTCTAGATATCCTGAGGTACTTGGGAGCTTTATCCTTTTTGTAAAACCAGTGGCAATGTCAGATCTGATATACGGCACTTGGACCAGAAAATGAAGATAACAGTAGCTGCCGAATCAGTTTTTAGGGAGCTGGTAAAGCAATTAAATAAAACACAGAAACTTCTCATGTGGGACCTGCTCTTTAAAACATTCCCCCCTCCTTCGGGGAAATGGAAGTGGAGATGGTATACGGGTACCTTTAAATGTACCCGTGTCCTCTTCATTTGAGAGACGTTGAAGCCAGAGGCCTTGCTGCAGCTCTCTTTCCCAAGGGCAATACTCCCCCTCTACAGCAGAGGGAACCACACATCCACATATAACACCAGACACGCGTGTACACACACAAGTGATGGAGAGAGAGAAAGAGAGAAAGAGAAAGGACAGAATCAGAAAGAGAGACTGTCTGGAAATCCTGCAACTCCCCATACTCCTGCTGCATTCAAAGTGTCTGGCAGGAAAACTGCTCAAATGAAACAACATCCATCCAAGAACACCATGGTTTAGCAGACTAAACGCACAACATGCATGTTACCATACTTAAAAACCAGTTGACTTCCACGGACTTCATTTATGGAGATACAGCTCCTACATGGAAAAGGTAGCCAAGCAGCCTGCTGAGCTCATGAACAAAACTGCTGCTAAGACTCAAAAAACTGGACTTCTGTTTGCATTAGGCAGCCAAAGACCTTTACGAAGAAGCTCTTTGGAGTCTACTAGTCTTCATAAAAAGAAAATGTGAGTACAAAGACAAAGACAGGATCAGTGAGAAATTTGGCATGGTGGTGAAACACTGGAAACATGTCTATTCTTAGCACAAACTTTGCATTTTGATGACCAAGACACACACAGGG